TTTTGAACATTCCCTTTTGCAGAAATTATTTCAATAATTACAATATTGACAATTGTCAGAATATTGTTGCGAGTTAAACTTAGACTTTCTTCCGGTAAAATTCGCGCTTTATAAACAATTGACGATACAAACGACCAACACGATGTCGAAGATAAAAACCTTTTTCTTTTTTACTGTCTGCCTTCTCAGATCTTCTTTCAGCGGGCAAATAATTATCCCAGAACGGCGCCAGGAGTTCCAATAGCAGCTCGAAACATTTACTAGTGGCGATTCCTTCCTATTGTCGAGTTTTGTGCTCCATTAAGGAACGCTTGGTTCACTCTAGCTCGTTAAGAGGCGAATTATCAAAGTTGAAAATTAACGGCACCGAATCGACGGTGAATGTGATACCGCGATAACGAGGTCTCCCTTTCCGGCGCTCGTCGATTCTATCGATCCCTCTGTCGCTCCGGGGGTTGTACGTTTCGTTTTCGAAAGGCGCGGCTAGGGTATAGTTTTCCCCGTGCACCAGCGGAAAATTACGCGTTATACCTCTCATTGAGCTGGCTTGAAATTCCCGGTGCGACGGTGCGAGGCACGTTCACAAATAGCGCAACTATAGAATTACGCGCTCCATTCTCACATGCTTGTTTCCAGGCTGATAACGGCGGACTAGTGATGGTCACGTTTTACAATTATTTTGTAAAATGCGGACCTCAAGCCAGCGTTTCGGATGTGGCCGAACACATCTACTATATTAGAAATCTGATTGGCGTGGACTATATCGGAGTCGGCGGAGATTTCGACGGCATCAACAAGTACGTTGAAGATGAGATAAATCAATCTGAAATTAATTAATAATATCTTTGAAAATATCACACGCAAGGACTATACCTTGATCCTCAAATAATTTGCATGCGCGATGTTCCTTCGGCTTAAGCCGAATTTCAATTTTAGTGATAACTTAAGCTGAAATTCAATTATCACAATCTCTACAACGTTAACTATTGCAGAAGAATTGATCCTTTATCTAGACAAATTAATTTTTAGTAAATTATATTTAATTTTTTACAGCAAACAAAACATGAAAATTGCGTTTCTAATTACGTGTAAAACTTCTTTTTCTCTCCGTAGAACTCCTCGTGGTCTGGAAGATGTTTCGAAGTATCCCGAACTATTCGCCGAACTTCTCCGGAGTGGCAAGTGGGACGTGCACGAGCTAAAGAAAGTCGCCGGCTTGAATTTACTGCGAGTCCTCACACAGGTTAGAGTCGATTAAGGTTTAAGATGTAGTTGTATATGTACCTTATAGGCGCTCCTGTGGGTCTTAATATCGTCATATTTCTACTGTAGCAATGCGTATTGTTAGACTCGCTACATTACACGACTATGCAACTATAGCTTTCCTTAGTCGTACACATAAATCGTCGCTTTTATTTAACAAGCGTGAAAAGAGATGATAAATTTTTATTATACAACGATTAATATTATTATTTACTAGCAGTTCATAAGCTTATAATAATCCATAAAAATGATGCAAAAAGTATCATTAAAACATTTTCTTAAAATCATAAATAGTTTAATAATTTTATAAAATTTTAAAATTCTAGATATAAATCAAGATATAAATATTATTAATAAGGTAATACATATTAATATAACAAAACATCATTATTAATAATTAATAATAAACATCAATATTAATAATTTTTCATTAGGTAGAGCGTGTGAGAGATGATCTGAGGACAGCGGGGATTACACCGCTTGAGGAATATCTTCCAGACTCACCGGACACGATTGGCAACTGTGCACTGGATATTAACTCCGTGCAAAGGGTCACGGAAGTCTGATCGATCGACTGTATGCATTGCCCGACGACATGCAAATTAATCTTATGCCAGCACAACCGTTCTACGCAGATGAGCATGGCCGGAAGACAACCAGTCATGTCGAGAGCATGGATTCAAGGCGAAAATTCGATTATCTCGTTTACTACAATCTGTACGCTCGCGAAAGTTCTTCGAACCTCGTATGAAAGCTCAATTGAACGTCGACATTTGCAAAAGCTCAAAATAAACCTACCTCGATACCTGTTTCACAAAGGCGACGAGCAGCGGATATCGATTACGCTTTATTTAGAGGAAGATATATTCGCACGTTACATTAAAAAGTAATTATAAATTATGTGTTATCAATAAGTAACCATAAAAATATCAAATGTTTAACTTAAACTGTAACAATCTTTTGTACTTAGAAATCTTTTTGTACTTAGAAAAATCGAACATTAATAATAGTAAAAAATTTATTTGAAAAATAATTTTTTATTATATGAGTCTGAACTAGACTTCTTTCTTTAATAACAATTTTGTTTGTAAAAATTATAGATTTATAAATTATAATTATATCTGTTTGTCGCTGTTACCCCATAATACAGAAATAGACTTTTCTACTTGATAAAATTAGCGAATCGTAACAGGCTGGTCGTTACTTTAAGATCTGTATTATCTTACTGCAAATATCTTCACGATCATGTAAATATCTAAATGATAAGCGATGCGCCATCCAATATTCGCGTGAAGATAAAGCGTCATTTCGCCGATGCACGAGACTGTTTCTAAACTTCGATGTCTTCCTCTCTTGGAAACGATCGTAATATGTGTGTGAAACTGTGAACTCCGGCTGTATACCTTTGAACGTCTTCCTTTCCCTCATTGCACCGACGAAAACACGTGCTCTATGAAACGAATGTCTGTAGAAGGAAGAATCGATATTGTGTTCCTACGAGCAGCATACATGACGCTCGTAATTCGCAGAATTCTGAAATCTCTTTCTTGCATTTATAGACATTTTTTTATTTACTTGAGCTTGAGTCCTAATTCTATCCTGTTATTCACATTATAATGTTTCAAATTTATATTTTTACATAGAAAGAATTTTTATAGTATCATTGTTTCGAAATATTTCGTTGTAGTTTACAGAATTTTTATTTATGGGTCATATATACATATATATGATTTCCCAATTAGATTTTAGAATAACATATGAAAATTATTTTTTAATATTAACATATTTCTTACAGTTGCTTTATTATATATTTCAAGAATGTGATTTAAAATATGTATGTATAATCAATGAATATAGTATAAAATATCAGAACATTAACATTATCTTTTTAACGATTATCTGAAATTACTAAAAACCCTTAAGTTGCAGTAATTCTAAATATTTAAAAATACTAATAAAGGAATTATCCATCTCTGGATTTTCCAGTGTCGAAACTCAAACTTACACATATCAAAGTGAAATATTTAAATTATTTATATTTTATATAGCAAAAAAACATTCTAGTTTTGCACCAATTTCCCACAATAAAGCTTGGAGTTATGGAGTTTATCAGAATATCAGCTCGAGAGTCACGTAGAATTCGAATATGTTACTCGCAGTGACAGATGTCGATGTTGCAGGACGGTTGATAACAGACGTACGTGTTTTTCGACGCATGCCGGATTGCAATCTATCGTTACAACGCACCCGGCAGTCTCTTTGATCAAAGCATGATCTAAAGTCTAAAGACGGGACATTTGAAATTGCCTGGAATAATCAATCGATTACGGACAGGCTTTTGTGTCAGTTTTGTTCCTGGTAATTTTCACATATCGCCGTCCACCTATCTGTGTCTCGTGTGCACTTATTATATAATTCGCGCAGGATGAAATCCTCGATCAAAAAGTGAGACTGTGTGTGAGTTGAGACAAGACTTGGACAAGAAATTAATCAATTTGCGCGAATTATACCTCACTCCGTCGTGTTGGGAGTAGGTGATAAATTCTAGGATATCAAAAGTTTCGTTGTATCTCTCGAACGAATTCTATAAATAAATGTTTCTATTGTAACTTTGCTATATTCTTTCCTCTCCGATATACGTGCACATATTATAGCCTTTATTTAATAACATTATATATACTTAAGTTTAAAACGTTTGCTTTTGAATTAATAGTTTAATGCTCTTCAATTTTGAATGGTTTGGTTTTCAACCTTAATATTTCACCTTAATACATAATTAAACAAAAAAAAATTCTGTTATTTATATTTATTCGAAAAAACTCTTAGCTTATTAAACCTGATATGTGTATATCAAAATCTAATGAAAAGTAAGCAAGAACTATGCAAAATAAACTTAATTTTATTATCCAGTGCGATATTCTTATACAAATGTATTATACATAGTTTCTTAATCATAATATGTAATAATTACATAACGGAATGATGATCAGTGATAATGTAAAAAACAATGATATTATTTTACAAAGTGTAAATAGATGAGCACTAATCGTTAATATGGCTAAAACTTATATCTAATGTCATGAAATGGAGAAAATGTTATTTACAGGCAATTCACAAGGTACATGATTTACGCTGACTGACATTTTTAACACATCAGAGACGATCTCAGCCACTGTAAAAAGAATTCGCGATTTAGTATAATTTCTAATAATTTATAGTTCACAATCATAACAATAAATATATTGTTAGATTAATCTAACAACAGGATATAATAATCTAATAATAGGATTTTTATATACCTCCGATAAGCTTAACTTTATCGTCCCATTTTGCAAAGGGTCTTTGCTTTCGAATATTCCTAAGTAAACGCAAAACACTCAATTAATACAAAATATTTAGTACAAATTATTAAGAGTTTAAATAAATCAAATTATATAAGCTAATTGAACGTCTCATAATAAACGTACCAAATGCGTCACTCAAGTGTAAAATTGCCGAAACAAAGTCACCAAATCGAAGAGTACCGTCTTTCCTCATGTATCGAAGGATCAAAATGGATAATACATCCGTATTTAATTGAAAACCTGAGATAGAAGCTTTCATTATATGAGAACGTAATAGAATATTTATTTCAAGCACTATATTACATTTTCTTTTTACGTACCAACTTCCAGTAGAGCATCTCGCAATCTTTCCGCTTTGAGTATACCCGTTTTTTCTTTTGTGTGATTCTTAAAAGCAGCTTGCCAGTACTTTAAACTGCACATAAGATCTTTAAAATCATTAAACTTCAACCGGCCACTTCCAGAACTCTATTTAAAGATGCAAGAAATGTAAGGAAACTAATTATTTATCATATAAATTATATCATATAAATTATATCTCATAAATTATCAGAGAGAATATATAGACAATTTTATTTAAAATTCTAATGAAATAATTGATGTATATAATTAATTAAATAAATTAAACACAAAGCTAAAGTTTTCTAAATTTGCAAACAATTATCAAATAAAAGCTGTAGTCTGCGGTTAGACCGCAGAGTTATGCGGTCGAAAAAATACTAAAAAATCATTATATTTAAAAAAAAAACAAAGTTTTTATTGTAAAAGGATACATCCATAGTGAGCACTACTTGTCGACAGACTTCCATGCAGGCACAGCTTTTAATATAATCTAAAAATAAAAAATATACATTTATCTAAATTAACATTGCATAACATTTTAGCGCATTTTACTTTTAGCAAAATGTTCTATGTATTTTACAACGAAGAGAAAAGCGTTGTACCATTCGGTAAACAGGCTTCTAAAAGCTCCTGCAGTTCGAAAGCGTTTACGGTTCTGTGCTCGTCGGCGAGCTGCAGAAATACAGCCTCGTATTGAGAGAAACCTTTTCCTTCGAGGGGAGGCGCCTTAACAATTGCCGATTTCATTAGCGACGGCGGAGTATCTAACAATCTGAAACATTAATAATACAATATGTAGAATACGAAATTTTACCGCTCACTTTTTTATTCCAGGATACAAAACATATTAATGTGCAATAAACCAAAAATGTAACATTGTACGTATTTAAAATTTTAAACAAAGCAGTTTTAATAATAAAATAATATACTAATAAATTACATACACGCGTAAAAAGAAGACAAGACAAATATCAATGATAAACAAAGGCAGCAAATCATTTAATTGAAAAAAAAAAATTCAATGTATTGCGTTACCATAACAAAAAAATGTATGCTCAGGAGAGGCAATTACTTGATGCATCCTTTGAAATATGGCTAAGAAAGGATTTTAAAACTGTAGTTGAAGACGGGCGTATACATGTCCTCACGTAAGTTAATATATGCTGCACATTAAATGCACCGAGACGGCCATTCGATCCTTTGTACTGCCTCGTGCAAGCGTGACATTCAGCAAATGCATATACCTACTTGAGTTTTAGAGGCTTACTGCTGTAGACTCGTAATGTGAAACTCGTTTCTTGAGTCGGCTCGAAGGTCGTAGGTACCAGCAAGTAACCGCCCTGCTCGAGCTGACACCTGTGGCTCACCTGCCGACTATTCGTATACTGGGAATTAACTAAAGACTTGTTCTTCTTGAAAAACTGTTTGTTTATCGATTCGGTGCTGTTCTTCGGCAGTGTATATGCTGTGAATCCAATCACCTGAAGACAGCAAAAGTTTGATAAGCCAATTTAACAAAAGACATGTTGAAGGTTGAGATATTTTGGAAATACTTCTTACTTTCGGCTCCATAATTGAATGCTGATTTAATGAAACAATGACTTCTTCCATCTCACTTAAAATCAGATGTAACTGTGGATTTATGTGAAAGGTTTCTATAAGAGAAAGAAAACATTCGTTAGATTATTTATATAACTTGATTGAATAAGTAATATAAAATGCACTAATTTTTAAATCAAGTGTTTACAATAATTTGCTTTAATATAATTGTAATCTCAATGACAATGTTTA